TAAGGATTGGTTGTTCATAGCCAGTGCTGGGTCAGTTTTGGAGAAGTCTCTTTCATATTTGAATATGTCATCATGGCTGGAGAATTTGAGGTCTTTCTTAAAGTAATGGAAGCCCTTGGGAGCCTCATTTCCAACACCAGGTTCTAGGAGAAAGTGGGATGGCTAAGGAGCTGGTGAGAAAGACTGAAAATGGCTACAAGGGACCTTTAGTGTTCTTGCTGGGTGGCTCTTTTGAGCTTTCGAGTGAGTGATTCTAGATAGACTATGATTGGGAGCTTGATGACTCAATGCACTATATGTGGAAATTGCCCCACCACCTGGACTACTAAGAATGGAAATTAAACTATCGCCATCATAAAAGCCCAAGCAACTAAAGTATCGCTTCTGGATGGTAACCATTGAACCCTCTTATTGTTGTTGTCACCAGAACAGAAGCCCATTTGATTTTTGCTTCCATAAGGGGTGGCAAAGAGTGCTCCCCACCCACTCCTTCCATGCCACTTCACAGCATTGCTCCAGGTCAGGGCTTGGGTACCCAAGAAGGAAGCCACCACTTGGCTTTTTGGGCTCACTTTGCTCCTGGTGGATGCCAAGGGGACAACCCTGGAGAAAGGAAGTGAAGAATGGGGAAGAGGATGGGAAGAGATGACATCAGGCAGCATTAGTGAGAGACAGTGGGCTGGGGCAGACTGTCAGTGTCATTGGGGATGCTACTAAGGGCATTCAAGAGACAGTAGCACATCTGAAGTCCCATCTGACTGGCATCAATAAACATCCCTGTTCCAATCATTCTGGAAGGGGAGCCTTAATTAGGCATGAAGAGATTCATCAAACAGCAGCCCCTTGGAGTTGTTGGTCTCCCTGCCATCTGGAAGGATGGTTTCCTATCCTGCAGGCCTGATGAAACCCAAATGGCTTTTGTCCTCCCCAGGAAGGAGTGAGATTTTGCCTGTGTTGATGGGCACATATGATTGGGTTCACACTGAGGTTTGCCTGGTCTCTGTGCCCAGGGCCAGTTTTCAGTCTACAGTGACCAACCTCAAAGATGAACAGAAAAAGCCCTGGTGTGACAATGACAAGACCTGGTCAGAAATTCTACCCATTAGCGATAAGGCTTCATGCAGGTTTTTGCCTCAGTTTTATGACCTATACAATAAGGATAATGATTTCTGCTTTGGTCCAACCTATATTTTTTTTGGAGGTTCTTGTGACATTATGAATGCAAAGTGACTTTGGTAACTAGAAAGGCCACTACAGACACTAAAGATTTAATTCAACAAACATTTATTGAGCAACTGCTGTGTGCTATGCACCACGCCTAGTGCTGTGATGGATACAAATGAATAAAACACAGTCCCTGCCCTTGGCGAGCTTACAGTCTAAGAACCGTTAGAGGACAAGTACACAAATCACTATAATACAAGGCAGAATATGGTAAGTGCCATGAGAAAGGTACAAATAAAGTGCTATGGTGGTTCAGCAGAGGGAGAGATCCCAGTGGTTGGTAGATCAGGAAGGGCTTCATGAAAGATGTGGTGTCTGTGTGGCCTTCAAGGGAACAGAAGGGAGCATTCCAGGGGATGAGAACAGCAAGACCAAAGGCACAGAGACAGGAGAATGTGGGCACCCCTCCGGGAATGACTATTCTAGACTGACCAGTGTAGGGTGTAAAAGAAGAACGAGGCCTTACTGGGTGGTCTGAAACATCAGAACAAAGAATTGTACATTCGTGGATGGGCCATGGAAACTTTGAGAGGTTTGTGAGTAGCTGGAGATTAAAATTGCTAGTCATGTTCAGGATGGGCTGGACAATATGTGAGAGTGCACAGAGGAAACCTGGGTGGGGAGATGGCTGCTGAGATGGTCCAAATGAGAAGTGAAGAGGTGAGGTTAGTGTTAGAGGGAAGGAGTCTTGAGGGAGTACATGGGAGAAGAGTCGAAGATGACATTAAGGTCTCAGACTGGGTGGTTCAGGGGATCATGGGTCTTCTAATAGAAGAAGGAGGGAGTGTGGGGGAAGGGGAAACAGAGAGGATCCATTTGGTTTCAGGGTTGTTGAGTTTATGGTGCTGCTGGGAGCAGGTAGGGTTAGTGTCCACCAAGCAGTTAGCAGTGGGAGACTGAAGCTCAGAAGACCTGGGCTGCAGAGAGGAGTGAGGGGTGGAGGATGCCTAGGGTGCTGGGGACTGGATTAGAAGGCAGGTAAGAGGCTGCTGATGGAGAGTGGAGGAGGACCCAGGAGAAGACTCTGGGGTAAGCCATGTCCACGTGGCAGGGCAAGGAAAAGAGAGGGGAATGCTGGTTAGATCTACTGCGACTCCTTTTTACATCAAGATAGGGATGTCAATAAATAAATCATAAATACATAAATAAATAAATATATAAATAAATGGCCAAGGGGGGTGGGAAGGAAAATCACATCCTGGGTGCTGAGGGGCCAGGGAGAGTCCAGGAGGGGTTGCTGTAGAGCTTGGTGGTGAGAAGAGGCCTTGGGATAGGGCAAGGTGGAGAGGGCGCCAAGATGCCGGTGTAGGGAGCAAGCAGAACACACATGCTGATGGCTGGTCTAAAGGAAAGGCGGCCGTGGGTGCTAGAGGCCCTTCCCAGGTCTGATGGGGAAGGAGGTGGGGAAAGAGACTGAAGAGCCAGGATGGGTGGGGTGAGCGTATCCTGGTGTGCAGAGGGGACAGAGGTGAGAGTGTCCGAGGAAACATAACTTGCAAGTGGGGGAAGATGCTTCCTCAGAATCAGGAGGCAGAAAGTGAGGAGGGAGAGGAGAGATCAAGAGATTTCGAGACAAAATCAGATAACTCTTCCCTGAAGGAGGAGAATGATGGTGGGATCATTTGGGGGCTTGAGGTGGATGGAGGTTGGAAACGCTCAGGAAGGGTGATGGTAGTTGGATCAGGGATCTCACAGAAGGCAAGAGGTGACAGAAGGGGTTCCTGTCAGCAGTGAAGGTTGGCTGAGGCCGAGGGTCTCTTTCTCCTGGGGATTCTGTGACCCTGCAGTTACAAGGCAGTGGATCAGGGCGCCTGCTCCAGGCCGTAACTTCCTGGGGCCACCCAAGGCCAGCTGGGCTATGCCAGAGACTGCAGTGAAACCTCGCTCAAATTGAGCTCTGAAGGGGCAGGGAGGGACAGCTGGTCCTGGGACTGTGTGCACCCAGATTGATGGAGAGGGACCAGGAGCGAGAGAAAGCCAAGGCCCCTGGATCTCCTACCATCCCTGGCCAAGGTGTTTTGGCTGTGCTGGACTCAAGCCAAGTTGGGGAATAGTATACATGTTGATGGTCCTGGGATCTCCAGTCTTTAACCAGAGAGAACTTGAAGGCAGGTTGGAAGGGCTCCTTCTACTCCAGCTCCTGTCATTTTCAGTTTAAGGAACCGTGACAAAGATAGGCAGAAAGAAAACCATGTTCTAGACTCCCAAAGAGTTCTGGCCCTTGGACTCCCCTGAAAGGGGAGGTTGGGGTGCTGGCCTGGTGGATAGGACTCAGGGCCACCTCTAGAACCTGACATCTGGCTCTCCACAGGACTCACCATGGAACATTCTGGAATCCAAGGTCTTGGCTAATCCACTGAGGCCCTGCCAGAAGTTCTACCTGCTCCCCAGGGTACTTCAAGCTTTAGAAATTAAATGTCTTTTAGGGCCTTTGAGATCCTCAAGATGAAAGGCTCTGGAGACATGTAAAATATGATACTAATTATTTCCACTGTTCATGACGAGTCCAAAATCACTCAGTTCCCACAGAGGCTGTTAGGGCTGTTGCTTTTTAAAATATTCATTTTATGAGGCAAATCTCAACTCACAGACTTCAAGCAACAACAAGGGAGAAATGCAGAGATGTATCATCATCACTGCGGTTTTGGGCTAGAGTGTTCGTGTGTGAGGTTAATGGTTCTGCCATCCCCACTCTCTTCCCATCAGCCATTAATTTAGAGCCAGTGCCCTGTTCTGAATTGTCATTGATTAATTATGTCCGGTCTCATATACTTAGGAATAGATCTTGATTACGTTTCTTAACTCCCTTCACCTTTAAGATAGTGGTTTTTTACTTATCTTTCAAATATGTTTTAAAACATTGTTATTTATCAGGCGAGGGAATACATCTAGCACATCCAGCCGACTAATGCTTCTCTATGAGTGACCTGTAATTCTAGCCCCTAAGTTATTGGTATTGAGCCCAGATTTCCCAGGGAGATGATGTCCAGTATTTGGAACTGCATTTGGTTTTGGGTTTTTTTAAATATTAAATTAATCTTAAATATTAATTTCAACAAGGTAAAAAACAAAAGAATTTTTCAAAATTCTAAAATTATTATTGTCTCTGTGGGAAGGTGGGGGAGGGTGGGTGTGGGGTGGGCATTGGGACCTCTCCCTGCAGAGTAGAAAACCTTAATGTTGGACTCCGTGTGGGCTAGCGTGATCATCAGGATAGGAAAGTGATAAGAAAGTGACATTGACACGGCAGTCTAGCTGCAGAGGCCCCACAGAGCACAGAATGTAGAAAGCAAACAAAGAGAGTGGTAGCGGAGACATGGAGCTAGATGTGCAATATTCTTTCAGGTCTCACACTCTGGGCTCTGTGAAACACCCAGAAAGGCAATCATATATATTTTAAGAAGGATGACATTTATCTTGACATTGCCCTTTCAAGTTGTGGCTTCCCTGGTGGCAGAAGGGGACCGTAGAGTCCCTAATGTGACATTCTAACAGGGTGAGATGCAGACTAACCCAGAGGGTGAAATCCCAGGGTCTCTTCCTCCTCACCAGACTCAAGTTGCTTTAAAGAGTACTCAACACAATCACGATATTTTGGACGCTCTTCTGCCTGTGGTGGGGTGGATCCTGAGCAGGTCTCACTTTTTCAAAAACACAGTTTGGAATACCTCACGTCTGCAGTGCCATCTGCCTGCTCCACCCAGAGTTCTTGTGGTTCTTGTTAAGCAAGAATATGAACTGTCCTTTGTGTCTCCTCTATCCTTCTCTCCATAGCTGTGGAGGCCTTTCTGGGACGTGTGAGTCAACTGTAGTCTGTCCCTTGGGCAGTCAAACTCTGAGTTCGTGGAACAAGGCCCTCAGCTTTGATGGGACCCTTGCTGCTTGGTTTCCTTGTGCTCCTTTGCCTGACTGAACTCTCTCTAACCTCCCTCTCCTCCGTGAACAGCACCCGCTTTAGACTGCGTCAAGTATCCTCTCTGGGTCTTGACTCTCCCAGAATCCACAATCCCAGAGGCTTGGGGCAGCTGACAAGAGGTGGCTCTCCATTCGTCCATGAGCCCAAAGATCCCTCCAAACCAGGAGGCAGTTTATCATCCAAAGTCATGGGACTTGCTTCTTTTCATGTCAAGTCCTTCCGCTTCCAAAGATGGACTGAGTCTCAATCTAGTTCAGGTGGGTTCTCCACACCTTCTTCCTGTGGCTTATCTGCCTAATGCTAGGTGAACACCACACAGTTATAAATACTCAGGTCAATATATATATGCAGGTATAGATATATATATTCTGGTCACTGTTTTACACTTTAACAAAGAAAACCACTAGCCTGCTTGTCCTATTTTTTTTTTTGTGCCACCCCGACTCCCATCTGCCTGTGGTGTAGCTGGCAGGAAATGTGAGCCACTGAGTCCCATGTGGGGCCCAGCTTACGTGGCCCCATCACACTGGCCAACAGTCAGTTTCAAAGCACCCTGCTCATGGAGGCTCTTGAGGGCCTTAAACTCCAAGGGCATGGTATGAGGGCTTGCCTGGGAGGTGTAGCCATACTTGAGGCTGTCATAATAGTGGTACTTGACTGGGTTCTGGTTCTGATCCAGTGGAAAGGGCCAGAAGCCGTAGAGGTAGATTTGGTTGCAGAAACGTGTGGCCAGGGTATACATCAAGAGGCCAGTGGTGGGTCTTTTGATGTGAACTTTGTTGGTCAGCCAGTATCTAAAAAAAAAAAAAAAAAAAAGTGAAGAAGAAACATGAGTGTGTGAATCATCTTTTCCAAGAAGAGGAAAATTTTATCTTGCCCACAGCCTGCCTCTTGCTACTCCAGAAACCATAGGGTCCAGTCAAATTACTGATCCCTGGTTGCTTCCTTAGTGGACTGACAAGCACCATTGATTAAGCAACGGAATTGCTTCTGAGCCTGAGTGCTATTGCAAGCGTGAGTTCTTGGAATTCTCAAAACAAGCCTGCCTGGGGGTACAAATGCAGAGACGGGGCTCGGAGATGACAAGTGTCTTGCCTGAGGTCACCAGATAGAAGGGCAGCGCCCTGACTTGAACTCAGGCCTGTGGACAGGTCAAGCAGGGGTCAGCAGATGTTTTCTGTAAAGGGCTAGATGGTAAATATTTTTGGATTTGCGACCACACGGCTGCAACCGCAGCAACTCCACAACTGTGTGTTGTAGAATAAAAGACAACACACATGGGTGTGGCCAGGCTTGGCCCTCAGCAGCAGTTTGCTGACCTCTGATGAATCCCAGGCTCTGTCATGGTGCCCACTGCCCTTCCGGGGTCCCACTGGACTTCCCTTTGGGGATCACTATTCCTGACTCCACCCTCGCCTCTTTCCGTTCCTGCCACAGGCCCCCTGCCTTGTGTTGCGGTTGCCTATTTCTAATCAGAGGTGACACTCCTGGAGAGCTGAGGGGGCACTATACAGTGGTTTACCTTGCGAGGCTGGGTTCTGTCCACTCTTTCTTCTAAAGTCCTATCACTACATTTTGGCGTATCCACCTCTGAAACAGAGTCCCAGCCTCCTGCCTCAGGGCACCAGTTAAAGGGTAATGGGAGGGAGCCCGAGGAAGCAGAGGGAGCAGGCTGTGCCTTAGCCAAGAATGCAGTGAGGAAGAGACTGTCTCTAATTCACAGTCCAGGAAACAGAGGCTCGGAGGAGGTAAGGGACTCAGAAGACCCGAGTTTTAGTGACAATTCTGTTATCAACTATCTGTGTGCCTTTGAGCAAGACACTTCTTCCTACAGAACCTAATTTTTCCACATTTATGCAGTGAGGTAGTTCAGTCTATCACCAAGATATCCTCCAAGTTCCAACATTCCAAGATAAGCTAGAAGTTTCTCCAGAAGTGGGAAAACATCTGTTCTATTTGTCATCATCTTGCTTTCCATCACAGTTCTTCTCTTTCTGGGACTTAGAACTCATTATGATGTGGGGTCTAACCTCTTTATTTCGAGTAAAAGCTTCCACTTACCCTAGGCTGAATCCCTTCAAAAGCAATGCTCATGCCTTGGTGGAAAGACGTAATTCCTTACCACAAATCCCTACAGCAGACACAGTCTACGTCTTTCTGTCCTCAGCCTCTGTGTTTCCCCATCTTACATGCTCCAATCTGCTACTGTAGAAACATCCACTCTGTAGCCAAAGTGAAGGCCAGTGCAGTTTCTGTTGACACCTCAGCACGGAGATGTATGTGACTATAGTCAAACACACCAATTAAATTCACACCAGAAGTAAAAGTATGCCAGACAAAACATTTACATATTGCTGAAAGATGAAACGGTCCTGTATTATTCACAGTGCTTTTAGCTAAAAGGTTGGGGTAGGGAGGAGCAGGTTTTCTAAAAGCCCAGAGACTCCTTTTCTTTTGTAAAATGATTCCTTTTGCAGCCCAGAAAAGGGAACCCAAAATTCATTCCAGAGAGTCAGCCTTAAATCTTTCTTTTGGAGGAAGTGTTAGCCTTTGAATCAGACAAGGTTATAGATTCCTAAAAACCCATATAATTTCAGTAAATCATAAAATATTTGATAAAATAAAACACATTTCAAGAATCCCTATTCGTACTCCTCCTCAACCCGACTGTCAGTCCGAGATGACTTCAATTTCCCCTTTGACATTGCCGTTGGAGGCCGTGGTCCCAGATGGCCAGAGTTCAAGTGAACAAGATTCTCCTGGGCACAGCAGGAACCTCCTGGGTGGGCCCCAGACAACCATGGTTGCTTCATATGCCTGTCACTTGAAGACCCCTCTTCCTTCGACTCCTTCCGATTTTATCCTTTCTGGGCCAAGAATATTCCCATCAGTGAAATTTTCCAGCCAGAAATCAGAGGAGGGACAAGGGCAGAGAACAGAACAATGGCTCTGGTGACTGCAAACACACTGCAATTGAAAAATAACAGAAGCAAGCCTTTGTGAGCACACTAGAGATCTTCATTCCTTCTTTCCTACACCATCAAAAATTCTCTATGGTGACAGCCCATCACCCATCTGCCCTCCACCTAGGAGCCCTATAGGCGTTCCTGTGATACCTCACCCTGCTCCTGATATAATCCAAGTTCCAAAGTGCAGAACATGAACTCTGCAAGGCCTGGCCTGATCACCCCCTAGCTTCAGCTTCTACCTACACTGTGCCCTTTCCAGAACACATAACCCGCAGCTCCCAGGGCACCACACTGTTTCATATCACCTCCTCCTATCAAATCAAGCCTCCTTTGCGCTTTTGCCCTATCTCTAGGCTCTACCAAGCGTGACCCTCCAGGCACCCGTGGTCACCTGTGTATCAGTCTCTTCCCTGGACTATGGTGTCAGAGGACATGTGTGCTTTTCCCACTGAGTTGCAGGCATAGAGGGTCATTTTAAAGTGGGAAGGGGTACTGGTCTCCAAGAAAATGTTCTAGGAATTTGAGGGGCAGCCCATAGGTACATCCCAACTGAAGCCCCAGCTGGGTCTAGGCCAGACTTCCTGTTGCTCTGTCAATGCCTCTAAATGGCCCCGAGGTCCTTTCTCCTTGGCCACAGGGAGGCCCAGAGCTAGAAGGAACTCAGAAGCAGGGTATCTCCCTTCTGTATCTGCTCCTGTCCCTGGGATGGGGGAGGGCTTGTAGTGACATTCTTTTTCTGCCACCACTGCCCTGTCCCTCTAAGGGAGAATACTCTTGGGCCTTCCAGTCTCAGAGAAGGGATGAGTCAGGCTGAGTTCACACAGGATCACAAACCCTGGGGTGGGCTGATTGGTTCCAGCTTGATACCAGGGAACTCTTCTGGGACCCTGACCCTGGGGAGCCACCATACAGATGGAGAACTGGTGCCACTCTGAAGAATTCCCAGGATGCTAAAAGTACTAACCATTGCTACCTGGGTGTTTTCTTTTCTTTTCCTTTCTTACTCTTTTTTTTTTTTAGTTGGAGTCTCACTCAGTCGCCCAGACCGGAGTGCAGCGGCTGCTCCTGGCCACCGCAGCCTCGACCCGCTGGGCTCCGGTGATCCTTCCGCCTCAGCCTTCCAGTAGCTGGAACTACAGGCGTGTGATACCACGCCCGGCTAATTTTTTGATTTATTGTAGAGATGAAGTCTCACCTGCCCAGGCGGGTCTTGAACCCGCGGGCTCAGGGAATCCACTCGCCTCAGCCTCCCAAAGTGCTGGGATTACAGGCTGAGCCACCGAGCCCGGCTCTTTTTTTTTTAAGAGGCAGGATCTTGCTCTGTTACCCAGACTGGAATGCAGTGGTATGATCATAGCTCACTGTAGCCTTGAACTTCTGGGCTGGAGCAATCCTCCTGCTTCAGTCTCCTAAATAGCTGGGACTACAGATGGGTACCACCATACAAAATACAACATTTTTGTATTTTTTGTGGCGATAGAATCTCACTGTAGTGTCCAAGCTTGTGTCAAACTCCTGGGTTCAAGTGATCCTCTTGCCTTGGCTTCTCAAAGTTCTGGGATTATAGGCATAAGCTACCATATCCAGCCTTGGGTGTTTTCAAGTGGCTGTATTGTCATCAGGGTTATTAGATAACTGGCCCATGTCTGAGCTCTGCTCTGGGCATTAGGTGAGGTCTACATGTCTAGTTTGAAAGGCCCATCTCACGCCCCTTTCTCTCTCTCCAAACCTTCCCAACCATGCTACTCAGGCCAGGCCTGAGGATTTAGCAAGGCTGCCAGATGGTGAGGGGTAGCACTGTGGCTTCCCTTCAGCCTTCTGGTTCCAAGTCCATGTTCTTTCTCCTTCATAATGCAGCCCTGGGGCAGCCGGGAATGCAGCTGGTCTAACGCGATTGTCCTGGGCCTATTCTACGTGGCCATTGGCTTAGATATCAGCTAGTACATAGAAGACACAGTGCTGGCTGGGGGATGCTTGATACTGAGGTTGGGTTTGGTGGGGGATGGGGGAAGGCAGCGGACTGTAAAGAGGAGAAGAATCCCAGAAGAGCTGCAGCTGATGCTGAGATCCTTTTCAACATCGCTGCAAAGTGCTCACCCACCTGGGCTTAACCATGTTCTGTAAAGGGGAGCTCACCCCTCCTAAACAAGTACATTGCATTTCCAGCCCTAACACAGAGGTTCTTGACCCAGGCTGCATGCTGGAACCATCTGGAGCTGGAATGCCTAGATGTCACTACCGCGTGCAGCCTGGCCACTGGGATTTTCACAGCCTCCCCCAGTCACTCATGTGCAGCCATGACTGAGAACTCTTGTTCTGACTGCTGCGTGGTTCTGTCAAAAGAACCCAGGAATGAGATATACAAGGGGGGGACCCAACAAAACTGGAATTTACTTATCAAAAAATTGTGTAATTATTCTTACATGTTTAAACTTCTGTCAACTTCAAAGTTCTCTCCATTTGCTGCAATATACTTATTGAGACGCTTTTTTATCACGGCTCAAAACAGTTTTTGAACTCGTCCATTTTGATGTCTCTTTTGTTTCACCTCTTCCACAAAATGTTTCCCTTTGAGGACTTTTTTCATCCGGGGAAATAAAAAAAAGTTGCTTAGGGTGAAATTGGGTGAATAGGGAGGGTGGGCACAGGGGTTCATCAGTTTGGTCAAAAACAGTTGAACACTTAGTGCGGTGTGGGCAGGTGCATTGTCATGGAGGAAGAACCAGTCACCTGTTTGCCATGACTAAGGATGTTTCTTCCACAAATCGTGATGCAACCTTCTCAAAACTTCCAGATAGAAACATTGGTTGACTGTTTGATCTGGA